CGCCAAACCTCCGTCCCCGCCTCCTCCTCCGGCACCGCCCTCTTCAACCTCCCCCTCCATTTCCACAACCCAACAACCAACTTCTCAGCCTCATTCTCCACCAACTTCACCTTCTCCATCTCCAACCTCAGCTCCGACTCCCCCTCCGGCGACGGCCTCACCTTCTTCCTCTCCCCCTCCAACCTCTCCCTCGGCTCCCCCGGCCCCTTTCTCGGCATCTTCGACTCGTCTTCTCCGATCAAGAACGGGTCTCGGTCCATTATTGCCATCGAATTCGATGCAAAACTAGACGAAGGCTTCGATGATCTCAATGATAATCATGTGGGTTTGGATGTTGATAGTCCTGTGTCCATCGTTGCTGTGAATCTTGATGATTCAGGGATTGATCTCAAAAGTGGCAATCCAATCACTGCTTGGATTGATTATAACGGACAGGAGAATAACAGTCTCAGGGTTTTCTTGAGTAGGGATAGGGTTAAGCCTGAGAATCCTGTTTTGGAATCAAAATTCGATCTTTCGAAGCATTTTGAGGAGTTTATGTATGTGGGTTTCTCGGCTTCAACAGAAGGGAGCACTGAGGTTCATATGATTGAGAGCTGGAGCTTTGAAATCTTTGGATTGCCTGCTGTTAATCTCTCTTCTGCTTCAAGAATCCCCAATAATGTGTCCGATGAATCTGTAACTAGGATTCCAGCAATACCCATTTCGAATTCGACGATCCATTATCATAAAAATTTCAGCTTTGGTCTGGTAATCCTTGGTCCAGTCATTTTTGCGGTTTTGTTGGTTTTGATTTTATGGTTCTTGATCAAGAAGACCATGCTGATGAAGTGCGATGAAGAAGATAAAAGAATGATACCAGAGTTCTTGACAGGCCCAAGAAAGTTCGGCTACAGGGAACTCAGTTCTGCTACCAGAGGTTTTCATTCCAGTAGAATCGTCGGCAATGGAGCTTTTGGGACAGTATACCGAGCTTTCGATCCCAAATTGGGAACAGAATACGCAGTGAAAAGATCGAAACAAGCCCACGAGAGCAAATCCGAGTTCTCTGCAGAATTAACCATTATCGCAGGCTTAAGACACAAGAATCTGGTTCAGCTCCAAGGCTGGTGCACTGACAAGAACGAGCTTCTTCTAGTCTACGAATTCATGCCTAATGGTAGCCTAGACAAGATCCTCTACCCGAAACCCGGTTCAGACCCATACCTGTTGTTCAACTGGGAGCGACGATACAACGTGGCAGTTGGGCTTGCCTCAGTCGTCGCCTACCTTCATCAAGAATGCGAACAGAGAGTTATACATCGGGATATCAAGACTAGCAACATAATGCTCGATTCAGAGTTCAATCCGAGACTTGGAGATTTCGGGTTAGCGAGGTTAATGGATCACAATATGAGCCCGGTATCCACATTGACTGCAGGAACCATGGGGTATCTTGCTCCTGAGTATCTTCAGTATGGGAAATACACTGAGAAAACTGATGTTTTCAGTTATGGTGTAGTTGTGCTTGAAGTTTGTTGTGGGAGGAGGCCTATTGATAAAGAAGGAGAAGGGAAGGAGGCTAAATTGGTGAATTTGGTTGACTGGGTTTGGGGATTGTATTCAAAAGATAGGATTCTTGAAGCTGTTGATGAGAGATTGAATGGGGATTCTGATAAGGATCAAATGTTGAGGCTTTTGCTTTTGGGTTTGAGTTGTGTGAATCCTAATTCTGAGGAAAGGCCTTCAATGAGAAGAGTTGTTCAGATTCTCAATGGAGAGGCTGAGCTTCTTGTTGTTCCGAAAGTGAAGCCAATGTTGTTGCTTAGTTCTAGTTCTCATTTGAGCTTGCTGGAGATTTTTACTGATGATGATGAGAGTGCAAATTCAAGCTCAATGTATGAGGTTAGGATTGACCGAGGTGAGGTAGAATGCTAACAAATTCTTCGTAGTCTAGAGAGTGGAATAATTTGTTTGTTCTTTGATTCTTTTGCGATCTTGTATCACTGATGTAATAGATGTCTCTGTTTTGAATATGATATGATGAGTTTCAAGCACTGAAGCTTGATTTTGTCAAGTAATTTGCCAATTTATAGCTTGTTTGCTTGTATAATGATGAACAAGGATGATAATTTATGCATACATGTCAACTGCAGATCAATATTAGGGTGGACTTTTTTATTGCTAATTTGCTATAAAGTATTGCTGATTTGAATAAGATCAGATATTCAATTGCCAGACATGATGTTTTCACTCATTTGTTTTATAAATGATTCTGGTCGAGGACTCGTAATTATTGAGAATTAGTTCTCTTGTGATCTAATTGATCATGAGAAAAAGAGCAAATGCGATTCGAAAGATTTCCCACATTACAAAAAATAAATGACTTCTTACAGTTTGAAGATCCTTAAAGAGTAACAGTAAAGGAGATTGCGCCAGATTTCGTGGAGATCTAATCTGTACTGGTCTCCGTCTAAATGAATCTCAGGAAGAGAAGAGCATATAAGTGCCAAGTGGTATTTTACTTTTGTAGCTCTGTAACAAAAATAATAGAAATGGCCGTTTGACACATCAAAATATGCAGGACTTTAGAACCCATACGTGTAAATTTCCTTTTCCTTGCTCTAGTTTTTGAAGGAAAAGAAAGGAAGTTGATGGTTATGATGAATGAGAATAGGATTCCCCCTCAATCTAATCCTCTTTTTGTAAAGAAACAAGAATATGATTCTGTTGCCAACTAGTTTCTCTCAAAGCATATGCTGTTTTAAAGTAATGACCCCAAACTAAGAACATAGAATTGGAGATTGGCATTGAGATAGAATCAAATTGAAGCGAGACCGGAGAAAGGATTAATGTCGATGGTAGGAG